GGCGCGGGCGGCCCAGCAGACAGCGAGCGGGAGGAGGAGCCGCTGCCGCGCCAGGAGCCGCCGGGGAGCCAAGGAGAGCGCCCCAGGTAAGAGGCTCCCGCCTCCGCTCCCGGGATGCCAGCGTCCGAGTCGCCCTGCCCCCGGGTAAGGAGGGGCGGGGGCGGGGGCGGGGCCGGCGGGGGCGGGGCTTGGCGGAGGAAACTGAGGCAGGAGGGACTTGTCCCAGATATCCTGCGCGTCCCCCCAGCTGGGTTTCAGGCGTCCTGATTCCCAGTCCAAATCGTCTGGTGGAGGAGAGGCCTGGGAGTCCGCATTTTTGAGTACCTGGAGAGGAGGGGCCTGAACACCAGAACTTCTGGGTTCAGAGGGAGAAGAGGCCTGGGGGCTCCGACTCTTGGGTCAGAGGGAGGAGGGGACTTGGGGCCAGAATTCCTGTGTCTGAGAGAGGAATGGTCCAGGATTCCTGGACACCTGGGTCTGCGAGAGGAGGGAGCTGGGGGCCAAGACTCCTGGGTCTGGGGGAGGAGGGGCTGGGAGCCTGGAGTCCTGGTCTGAGGGAGGAGGGGGTCGGGAACCTGGATCCTGGCTCTGAGGGGAGGGAGCGGGGGCCTGAACTCTGGGTCTGGGGGAGGAGAGGCTGGGCGCCCGGACTCTTGAGTTTGGGGGAGGAGGGGACTGGGGGCCCAGACTCTGGGGTCTCGGGGAGGAGGCGGCTGGAGGCCGGGACTCCTGGTCCTGGCTGGGACAACATGCGCGCCTCTTCACACCCCACTCTTCCCGTTTCCCCATCTCTGCGCCAGGGCAAGCAGCCACTCCAGGTATGTGCTGTAGAAGTCTTGGGCGGGCCCCGGCCTGTCCCGTGAGGAGGGAACATTCCAGGAAGCAGCCTCGGGGACCCAGAGCCCTCAGGGACCTGGGTGTCCAGGCCCGCCCCTCCCCCCGCTGCATCTGGGAGATGAATGGGCCAGAGAGGAGGATGTAATCTTTTCCAGCCTCCTTCATCCGCTGCCTCTCCCCTCCCCCCATCTGCTTCCCATCCCAGTCGGGAGCCATCACCTGGGCAGGGAAGGGGCCTCTAGGAAGGGGGTGGCCCGATTCCTGGGTACCTTATACACTAAGAAGAAAGCAAGGAAAGGGGTATCAGGGTCTCAGCCCTCCCCCCACCTGTCTATCCAACCCATCTGTTCCCTCATTTTCCCTAGGTGGTTGCCCCCTCCCTCTCCTGAAATGTCAGGGAGGAGGGGGCCACCTGTGTCCCTCACAGGGGCCCCCTGGAGCCTGGGGGCCCCCAGCCCGGGAGCTCGGAGGCGGAGGAGGTGCTGACAGGTCTGGTAACCACCCGCTGCTTCCCAGCCCTCTCCAGGATACCTTTCCCAAATCCATAGGCTTACAGAATATTGTAGAGAAGCTGCAATAGCCACGCCCCCACCAGCATCTCCCAGCCCTGGGTCTAGTTCACAGACAGAGAAACTGAGGCTTTGCCTGAGAGGGGGAGTGTATTGTCTTGTTAGTGGCAGTTTTCAACTGAACTTGGGTCTCCCCTGGATTCCAGAACTTGGCCTTTCTCAAAATTTTGGAACTCACACCTCCAAGCAGCGGGATTTGGGGTTCCTCAGGGTTATAGAGGTAAGATGGGTGAGTGAAGTTGCCCAGCGTGGGTTCAAGTCCCATCACTGTCACTTGCTAGCTGTGTGACCTGGTGCCAGTCATGAACCTTTCTGAGCCTGTGTTTCTTCATTTGTTTGTTATTATTACTGTTGTTATTATTGTTAGTTGCCGTCGAGTCAATTCCAGCTCATGGCGACGCAGAGTAAAACTGTGCTCCATAAGGTTTTCAAGGCTGTGACCTTTCGGAAGCAGATTGCCAGGCCTTTCTTCCAAGCCACCTCTGGGTGGGTTTGAACCATCAACCTTTTGAGTCGAGCGCTTAACTGTTTGCACCACCCATGGGTCCTCATTATTAGTAATAGTAATAGATATTTTTTACTATTCTAGAAGTTGGGTATTATCCAAGTCCCAGAGTATAGGTTCCCCAAAAGTTCTAGAACAAAGGCCTCCCCAAAGTTCTGACATGCAGGCCCCCCTGGGGTTCCCAGCTTTTGCAGTCTTCTCTAACCCCAGCCCCCTTCTCTCTCTTCAGGTGCTCAGCAAGATGCTCCCCAACTCCTCAGGCTCCCTCCTCTTCCTCCTCCTCTTCTTCCTCCCCAGCATCCCATCAGAGCCCCATCCCCCACCCACACCACTGCCCCCATTTCTGGCCCCTGAGTGGGACCTCCTGTCCCCCCGAGTAGCCCTGTCCCGGGGTGCCCCCGCAGGGCCCCCTCTGCTCTTCGTGTTGGAGGCTGGGGCCTTCGGGGAGCCTGCAGGCATTCCAGCCAACCGCAGTCGCCGCGGGGTGAGCGAGACAGCACCGGCCAGTCGCCGGGGTGAACTGGCTGTGTGCGATGCGGTCAGTGGCTGGGTAACAGACCGCCGGACAGCCGTGGACCTGCGTGGGCGCGAGGTGGAGGTGCTGGGCGAGGTGCCTGCAGCTGGCGGCAGCCCCCTCCGCCAGTACTTCTTTGAGACCCGATGCAAGGTGGACAGCGCTGAGGAAGGTGGCCCCGGTGGGGGTAGCGGGGGCTGCCGGGGTGTGGATCGGCGACACTGGGTGTCGGAGTGCAAGGCCAAGCAGTCCTATGTGCGGGCGCTGACTGCTGATGCCCAGGGCCGCGTGGGCTGGAGATGGATTCGAATTGACACTGCCTGCGTCTGCACACTCCTCAGCCGTACTGGCCGGGCCTGAGGCTGGGCCCGGGAACAGACAGGCCAAGGAAGAACACCTGGATGCTGAGGGACCTTGGGGAAGGCCTGGCTACACTGGGGGCCTCAGTTTGCAAACCTGTCAAATGCATGCCAAATCTCAGCTCTCTGATTTTGAGAGCTCATTCTGTGCAGGACAGGTGATGAAACCAAGTGGGGTTTTGAAAGATGAATAGGAGTTCTGCTGGAGAAACTTGAGGGTAATGATGATGATGATAATAATTAATAGCCAATATTTATTGAGTGCTTACTCTTTATCAGCTCTAATATATAACTTATCAGATAACTCTCATGGATTTGACCATTGGAGGCCCTCAGCTTCTAAGTTGCTCACCCCTTATTTTCAGAGGATACTGCCTGGCTCACCCTGGAGAAAGGGATAAAAAGGGTGATATGTCAATAAGGGGGTGGGACAGCCTAGAACCAGCCAGAAGACCTTGAGAACATGACCTCACAGAAAGGCCTTTGAGTATCTGGGAGCTGGGGCTTTCGAATGAGAAATCTTGCTTGTCAGAGTGGACAAGTGTTGGTTTAGAACTTTGGAACTGTCTTGAAAAGTAGTGAGCCACCCATCACAGGGGGAGTACAAGTAAGGTTGGATGATAGGAGGTGAGGATGCTGGAGAATTCAGCCCTGGGCAGGGAGTTGGAGTCAGGTTTCTATCTCTCCCATCCCCACCTCAGCCTTTACCCCACAATGGGAAAGAAACAGACCTTAAAATCGTGCAGCTTGAGTAGGACAACAGGTTTTGACCTGTTGGCCTGTCCCTAGTTAGGATCAGGGGTCACTGGGACACTGAAAGGCCTTGAGTACCAAAAAAAAAAACCCAAACCTGTTGCCGTCGAGTCGAGTCCGACTCATGGCAACCCTATAGTAGGGTCAAGAAAATCCGACTAGAGAAAGGCCCCCAAAGCCTGAATGGTGGGACAGTGGGACCCTGGGCCAGGCTGTAGAAGGCAGCCTCAGTTTTCTCTGCCTGAAGAATGGGCTGATAGGATGAGATCATGGGGCCAAGGAGGCAGAGGCCTTTAAAAGGAGTGGGTGAGGAGGGAAGCCAGGGGCAGGCCCCACACCCTCAGGACAACCCTTCATGTATAACCACTCCACAGCCCCATCCCTGTTGCTAACACACACTCCAAACCAAAAACAAACTCACTGTATAGTTGATTCCAACACGTGGCAACCCCATGTACTACAGAGTAGAACTGTTCCATAGGTTTTTTTTTTTTTTTAGCTGTAATCTTTAGGGAAGAAGATCACCAGGACTTTCTTCCATGGCCTGGGTGGGTTTGAACTGCCAACCTTTAGATTAGTAATCCAGCGTAAATTGTTTGCACCACCCAGGGACCTTCACGCATGTACATACACACATTCTTTTAGGGCCACCTTTGAGCTAGGGACATAGACATTCCCCTTCCCCCACCAACACAGACTGGATCCCTGGGGAGGGTTAGGGGGAAGGTTGGGAGGGGTCTGGCTGCCTCTGTTTCTATATCTCTGCTTTCTCGATCTCTGGTCCCCACTCTCATGTGTGGCCTCCCTGTGTCTCACTTCCTGTGTCTCTTGTCCCTAGGTCAGTAGCTCTCTCTCTATCCCTGTCTTCTTCCTTCACTGTCTCTACCCATTCCTTTGTGTATTTAATTCTCAGTCATTAAAGCTCTCTTCGTGTCCTTTTCTCTCTTTTCCCTAAGTATTTCTCTGTGGGTCTCTCCCTTGTCACCCACCCGCATACCCAGGTGGAAGTTTTCAACCAAATCAAAGACAGACAGGGCGGGCCTCACAGACTGGGAGGGACGGAGGGTGAGCCAGCGGAGGTTCTGAGAAGTCTGGAAATCGTTACCCCCCGAGTGGGCAGCCAGCCTGGCAGAGGGAGGAAGCGACTCAGAGGTCTGCGTCCAGAGGAAAGTGGGGTGCTCCTCATGGACTCCCTTATGCTCTGAGTGGACTCTGTCCCCCTCGCCTTTTGGGTTCCTCATCTTCCCTTTCTGGATCTCTGAGCCTACCCCCAGGTCTCTGTCCTCCTCTCTCTGTTCTCTGTTCCCCCTCTCTGAGTCCCTGTCCCCCTCTCTCTCTGGGTCTCTATCCCTCTCTCTAGGTTTCTGTCCCCTTTTCTCTGGGTCTCTATCCCCGCCCACCCCCACCCCCATCCGTCTCTGTCCTCCTTTCTATGGATCCCTGAAAGTCTCTCCCTGGACTTCTGTCCTCACCTCATCCCCACCCCTGGGTCTCTGCCTTTCTCTTTCTAGGTCTCCCCCAAACTTTCTCTAGGTTTCTGTCTGCCTCTCTGGGTCCCAGTATCTGTCCCTGGGTCTCTTTCTCACGTGATAAATCTACATGCCTGCAGCCCTCCATTGGCTAGATGTGAGGTATGCGGGTTCTGTTACCTGGGGCAACAACAACAAGCCTGCTCCTGCTGGGCCACGGAGTGGGGGTGGAGCCATGGCCGGTGGGACCCTAGCTCTGCGGTATTGCTCCCTGTGGCCTCCCATCTCCTGGACGGAGGTGCCTGGATCCTGGTCCGAAAGGCACCTCACCAGCAGCGGTGTCGGCCACCGCATTATCCCATCCGTGTCCTTTCCCTCGCCCACTGTGCAGGTGAAAGGACTCCGGCTCCTGGGCCAGATGGGCTGGGGGCCCAAATGCTTGTGTCTGAAGGAGGAGGGGCTGGGTGTTGAGACAGGGAGAGTGGGTCTTGGGTTCCTGTCTGAGGGAGGAGGGAAGTTGGATGCAGTTGAGGGAGGAAAGGGCTGGGACTCTACTGGAAGAGGACTAGGTTGGGGAGCCTGGACTCCTAGGTCTTTTGCGCTGACGTCCTGCGCCTCTTCCAGTCCACGGTCGCGGAGCCCCTACCCCCGGCCGCAAAGCAAGGTCCGCACATCTGGGCTTTCGACGAGGTCGTCAGCAGGTGGGAGACCACCTCGGGCTCGGCTCACGTGCCCAAGACCCATGGCGGCCCCTGCGCGCAGCCCAAGGCCCCAGAGCCAGGGGACCCCATGCGAACTGTGGGGATCAAGGATTTAGGGGAAAAGGTAAGATTGTGGGATGTCGAGGCAGGGCGGGGACAGGACAAGGACGGCACTGGTGTCCCCTGTGCCCTCACGTTGGGTCTCCGTGTCGCCTTCCCGCAGCTCAAACACAGAGGCTGGCGCCTCCCTCTGATCACGAAGCACCACTGCAGCGAAATGAGGGCGCAGTACACCGGCTGGCCCGACCTGGATCCGCGCGCCACCTTTCACATCGGGCCCCAACCCCTGGAGCTTGCGGACCACCACCGCAGAGGCCCTTCGCAGGTCGCAGAGCGGGGGCGGTGCTGGCCACTGTGGGGGGGGGGGTGAGGGGGCGGAGCTTGGAGCTCCTGGGGCGCTCCAAGGCTAGGCAAGGGCTTCTGAGGATAGGCACGTGGCTAGGAAATCCCAGGAGCCCGGCCAGAGGGAATTTTTAGGCTAGGGGCGTGGGTTAAGCTTCTAAGGTCGGTTACAGAGGTGGGGGAGGGCCTTGGGTTTTTATGGGCGGTGTCCGAAGGAGAAGTGAACCCCCTACACGTTGCTGTCCAGTGATTCTGACTCATAGCGACCCTGTAGGACAGAGAAGAACTGCCCCATAGGGTTTCATAGGCTGAAATCTTTATGGGAGCAGATCGTCAGGTCTTTTCTTCTGAGGAGCAGCTGGTGGGTTCAACTCCCCCTTTCATCTTTCAGTTAGCAGAGTGCTTAACTATCGTGCCACCAGGGCTCCTCGAGAAGGGAACCAAACCAAAAAACCAAACCCGTTGCCCAGTCGATTCCGACTCATAGCGACCCTATAGGGCGGAACAGAACTGTCCCATAGAGTTTCCAAGGAGCGGCTGGTAGATTCCGAGCTCTTAACCACTGTGCCACCAGGGCTCCCGAGGAGGGAACCCCCCAAAAAACCAAACCCGTTGCGGTCAATTCCGACTCACAGCTACTGTATAGGACAGAGTAGAACTGCCCCATAGGGTTTCCAAGGAGCGCCTGGTGGATTGGAACAGCTGACCTTTTGGTGAGCAGCCCAGCTCTTAACCATTATGCCACCAGGGTTTCTAAGGAAAGAACAGGAGACCTGAAATCCAGGCTCTGAGGCTGGCGGGTAACTAGTAGAACCTGGGGCCTGGCAGGAGGGTTTCAGAGGCTGAGGGAAGAGCAGGACTTCTAACTGGTTTGTTCCGCTTTGAACCTCTGCTGAAAATTTGCATTTCTAACAATTCCCAGGCAATGCTAATGCTGCTGGTTAGGTACCAATTCTGAGAATCACTAGTATATATAGCAGTCGTTCTCAAAATTTATTATACATAAGAATCACCTGGGGATCTTGTTAAAATGTAGATTCTAATTCAGTATATCTGGGATGGAAATTAAAATACTCAGCAGGAGTTCGAAACGGACCGAACCGGTTCGAAACCCTCGGGCAGAGGTAGGTGGCAGTCTGTCCGTGGGGGCAGGCTAGGTGGCGCTCTGCACCTGAAGGCGGGACTAGAATATTCTAAGACGGGCCAGGGGAGTTCCTTGGGCGAAAGGCGGGGCTAGGCTTTCTGGAATGGGAAGAGCCAAGAAGCTGCTGAGTTCCAGTGGCGGGACCAGTAAGGTTTGAGTATGGGAGGGGAGCCGGGAAGGTTTTTTTTGTGGCTAGGGGCTTGGCTTGGAGTTCTTGGCGGTGTGGGAAGTGTTTGGATTTGGGGGAAGAGACTAGCAAGGATTCTGATTGGGGAGCGAAACTAAAGTGCCCTGTCACGAGACTGGGCAGGAAGGATTCTGAGTCTGGGGGCGGGACTTGGGGTTTGGAATGGGAATATGAAACCTCTCTTGCTCATCCCACCTTCCCCGATCTAATCCGCAGGCTCTTGTTCCCTGGACTAGGAACTCCGAGCTGGCCGGCCAGCCTTTTACCGTATCCGACCAGGGCATCCTGGACCGCCATCAGCTCTACCTGACCACCACGGCCGGCGACTTCCGCGCCTACCCGAAGTGAGACCGGGTGCTCGCCCCACCGCCCCCCTGCACACACAGCCCACGCACAGGCCAGTGGGACGCCCCTGGGGATCAGTTCCCCTTCTCTGCTTTGTAGTCTCAGCCTTCAGCTAGCTCCTGCACACGCATGAACCAGAAGTTAAGACCCCAGCCCCTACCTGTTTCCGGCACCCAGATGCCCGTAGTGTCAACCCTCAGAAACCTGCGGTAGGGGCAAAGACACCCAGAGGGGGTCAGGATCTGGGGGCGCATTCTGAGGATCCAGAGTGGGCCTCCTTCAGTATCTGGGCCCCTAGCTACTTGCCACTGATGCAAAAGCCCTCAGTACCTCAAGGACCCAGGAATCCAGGCTACGAGTCCCCGGCCCCATCCTTCCTAAGCGGTCCCAGACAACATCTGGACTCCAAAAAATTGTGTCCTCGCCTCGAAACGCAGGAGTTCGGGTCTGCAGGCTCCTCAGGGCCCGAGGATCCAACTGTGCCCTCCCCGTCCTACTCCCCACCCCCCACCCCCACCAGGAAGGAGTTGTCCAGATACGCCTGCAAGGACTCGCTGACCTACTGGAGCTTCGAGGAGACGCCCCAGGCCTGGGGCCACGGCCCACAGCGGCCGCCCTGTCCGCGCTCCTCTCGGCCTCCCCGGCCGCCACGGATCCGCGTGCCCCGCGTGCGCCCGGTGCCGCCGGCCGTGCCGCACCACGAGGCGCTGTCTCTGGCCCAAGAGTCGTATAGCCCCCCACTGCACCCACTCCGCGGGCTCGACCGTTTCTGCCCGCTGGAGGCGCCCTGGGGCGGTCCCCACTGGAAGCCAGTGCCGGCCATTCACAGCGTGCTGCAAGCCTACCGCACCGAGAACTCACACTACGGCAGCGGCAAGCCCGCGCTGGTCTAGGCTGCCCGCCAGCCCTGCCCTGGACTCACCCCCAGAGCGCCGGGCGAGGCCGAGCGGAGAGCCCAGCCAGCCATGCGAAGGTGGGGCCGAGCCTGGGACACGCCCATTGTTTCTTTTAGCGGTGTGGGCGGGACCACACACGCCCCCTGTCGTGGAGGGGGCGGGACTCCTGTCAATCAAAAACCAAAAAACCCAAAACAGCTGCGGTCGAGCCGACTCAGACTCGTAGCGACCCTATAGGACATAGTAGAGCTGCCCCATAGAGTTTCCAAGGAGCACCTAGTGGATTTGAACTGCCGACCTTTATGGTTAGCAGCCATAGCTCTTAACCAGTACACCATACAGATTTCCCTGTTAATCAAAGACAGAGTTAAATAGCCTAAACCAAGTCCCAGGGCAATCCAGGCATCCTGGCTGCTGGGGGAGTGGGCATGGCGTAGATGGGCTCTGGCTAAATCCCTTGTTGGGCGACGTCTGGGTGTAGGCAGCCTCGCCTCTGGGCATAGCAATGGGGAGACCCTGGCACAAGAATGGTTGCCTTTCTGGCTTTGTCGGCTGGAGCACAGTTGAAGCCACAGCTCATCAGCGTTTCTTGGTCGGAGGGGGCTGGCTGCAGCAACGGGCTGAGAAGTGGGGCTCCACGGGAAGGGGGTACAGCTAACGGCTTCCTCTACCCTACTTCCTGTACCTCCAACGACTTCTCTGGCACCTAAAGCCTGAGTGTGAAGTCCACGTCACCGCAGGTATCTCACTCAGTGGGGGTTGGGTGCTGTTGACCTTGTCCACTTCTCGCCCCCAGGGGGGATTAGTGTCCAGGTTACTTCACCATGCCCCCGCAGCCCAGTGGCCTTGCTTCCCCCGCAGTGCACAGGTATAAGGCCAGATAGAGGAGGTGGGGGAGGCACTGAGGATGGAGACACTCCAGGTGAGATTGTGGGGCCATGCCTGGGACGAAAAGGGACAGAATGCTGTGACCTGGTGCCCCAAGGAAAGGGGCCTCTTTCTAGAAGGCAGTGAACAGCTTCTGCCCAGGAGGGAAGGGGTTGGGCAGGGCCTGATGCTGAGGTCTGAAATGTTGGTTATCTGGGGTGCCCTGGTATGGGGGTTGGGCTGCAAGTTGGACCCTGAAGGCAGATGTCAGGGATGGCTGGTCAAAGGGGAGGGCCGGGCCCTGAATGAGTGTGATGCAGGGTGGAAGGTGAGGGCTCAGAGTGGGGTCTCTGCCTGGCCTGAGGTACTGCCTTGCCCCAGGGGCTGCTGCTGTGGCTCCTGCTGGGCGGGGTGTGGGCATCCAGGGGGCCACTTCGGCCACTGTGCCGGCCCATCAACGCCACCCTAGCTGCGGAGAAAGAGGCCTGCCCTGTCTGCATCACCTTCACCACCAGCATCTGTGCCGGCTACTGCCCAAGCATGGTGAGCAGCTGGGAGCCAGCGCTGGAGACCAGGAGGGGGCAGCGTGGCTGGACAGTGTCCCAGGCCCCAGGAGGTGGGGTCACTGCTCGTGTGTGGGAGGGTGCAGAGGGTCCCCTAGACACCTTAATTTGAGATCTCTGGAGGGCAGCACAGAGGTCAGGTGAGGACCTGGCTCCAGGCAGACACCTGTGCACCCCTGCCCCCACCTATGGCCTCCAGGTGCGGGTGCTGCCGGCTGCCCTGCCGCCTGTGCCACAGCCCGTGTGTACGTACCGCGAGCTGCGCTTTGCCTCCATCCGGCTGCCTGGCTGCCCACCCGGCGTGGACCCCATGGTCTCCTTCCCTGTAGCCCTCAGCTGCTGGTGTGGGCCTTGCCGCCTCAGCAGCTCTGACTGCGGTGGCCCCAGGGCCCAGCCTGCGGCCTGTGACAGCCCCCACCTTCCAGGCCTCCTCCTCTTCTAAGGACCCTTCCCCAGTCCCCCACGCCCTGCCCACTCCCAGAGCCAGCAGCTGCTCCTTCTCTCCCTTCCCAATAAAGGCTTCTCCAACCAGCCTTCTGTGGGTGTCTTTCTGTGGGCTTGGGAGCTAACACATGCACACATGCATGAACAGTCCAGTTTCAGAACCATTTTATACAAAGTCACAGTGTAGAACTTGGGTAGAAAATGGGTTGGGGAGGGGGACGTCAGCTCAGGAGGTGTCCATGGTCTCGCCTTCTGTGGAGAGAAGGGGGTAGGCCCGTTGTCAGAGCCGCCCGGCCAGCAGGGCCTGGGGCCAGGCCCCCTCCTTCCCCTCCCGTGGGGGGGACGAGCACTCACTGAGCTCATTGAAGAGGAAGGCATCCTGGTACTCCTTCATGTACTGTGTGGACCGTGACTCATCCAGAAAGAGCGAGTAGACTCGCTTGATATCATCCACCTGCACCTCTGTGCCCTGGGGGGAGGGCAAGGCCTCAGTGGGTTTCCCCAACCCCCGTGATGCCCACCACACACAGAGCCAAGCTCCTGCCCCCTCAATCCTCCAGGCAGCAGAGGGTGGTGGGTGAGGACAGGGCTCTGGGCCAGACTGCCTGGGTTCAAATCCTGCTCCACCACCACCTAGGTCTAGGCTCAACCTCTCCAGTCCTCAATTTCTTCATCTGTAAGATGGACCTAACAGCATCTATTTGTGTTCAACAGATATTTACTGAGCACCTACTAAGTGCCAGGCCTGAAGATAAGAGACAAACATGATGGGCAGAAATTCCCTGTCTTCAACAATGTAGACTCTAGGATTAAACCCAGCGCCCCACCCCAGCCCTGGTGCGTGACTGCTCACAGCTGGCTAGCCGCCCCAACTCTCCAGCTCACTCCGCTGGCTGACCTTGCGTTTCCTGCACACCAGGCTGGCAGCTGTGATGAGCTGGATGGCGTAGCGCAATGAGGTCTCCAGACCAATACGAGTCAACACCGTGTAGGCATCCTCGCTCATCTCCACATCTTCTTCCTCACACCTGTCGGTGGGCGGGGGGTAGGGGCTCAGCCAGGGCCAGCCCCCGACTGCAGCCAAGGGGTGGCTGCGGCAACTCCCTGGCCTGTCTGGGCCACCAGCTCTTCCTCCACGTGCGAGGAACCTCCTAGAGGAGTGTGGAGTCTGTGTCCTCAGAACAGGATGCCGAGGCTAGAAGAGCCACGGAAGTCTAGACTGGGCCAGGTCTAAAGCCTGGGAACCCCCATCCTGCCCCACAGCAGCCCCCACTCTGGGTCCGAGGCAGGCCCAGAGACCTGGGGCCAGTCCCCCCTCCTCCCCAGACCTCAGTTTCCCATTTATGAAGAGGGAGGACGGCAGCCCTGCCTCAGGCCCTGCCTGGCCGAGCCCCGGGACCACACCGGATGCGGAGGATCTGCTTCGTGTCCTTCTCGCTGTAGGGAGAGGTGGAGATGATGAGCAGCCGGTCGAGCAGGTCAATGGGGATGCCGTGTGGGCTCTGGTAGCTGGTGCCCCGGATGCTGGGGAGGTGCAGGGCACTGTCAGGGGACCTCCTGGAACCCAGCAGGGCCCTGGCTCATCCATCCCTCTGTCTGAACACTCCCATTCACCCCCAACCCCCACTGGCCACCCACTCACTGGGCCAAACACCGCTTAACCTTCAGCACCCAGCTCGTGTCACCTTCCTGCGTCAATCCTGAGGGGCCCTGGGCACAGCTGGGCTGGCTTTACCTACTTACCCACATCTGGGATTACCACATCAAGGTCCCACCCTGCCTGACACAAGCTCTGCAGGAAGGGCCTCTACCAAGCTTGTCCCCTGTTGTATTAGGGCCTAGCACAGAGTGGGCGCCCAGGAAATGTTTGCTGCCTCCTCCTAGGAGACGCCTGGAGCAGTTCCCATGCCCTCACCCGCATCCCTCCAGACGCGCTCCTGGCATTACCCTGTCTCTCTCTCTCAACCCCTCAACATTCGGAGATCAAATCCCTGCCTTGCCACCTTCTAGACATGCAACCTTGGGCAAGCCATTGGGCCTCTCTCTCCCTCGCTGTCCTGATCTGTAAAATAAAACCCTTTGCCATTGAGTCGTTTCCGACTTATAGTGACCCTAAAGGACGGTAGAACTGCCCCATAGGGTTTCCTAGGCTGTAAATCTTTATGGGAGCAGACTGCCACATCTTTCTCCCACAGAGCTGCTGGTGGGTTGGAACCACCAATCTTTCGGTCAGCAGCTGTGCACTCAACACTGTGCAATGAGAGCTCCTGATCTGTAAAATACCACCTGAGCTTCCTCTGAGGGTCCAAGGAGTTAATCCAGGAAAAGTGCCAAGCACAGAGCCTGGCAAACTTACCACTGCCCACCCCCAGCCATTCCCCTCTTCCATCTAGTGAGAGCCACCCCCACTGCCTCCTTTCAGCTGGACAGGCGGCTGCAGCACTGGAGATGGCCTCCCTCAGCCCACCCCTCACCCCCAAAGTCAGGCGTGCTAGGTGCGACCTCTGGGCCACAGCCTGGCAGGAGGCTACTTGCCCTCCACTTCCTTCCCTGTGAGCTGAAAGGCAGATGTAGGGAATAACACCCTAGTCCAGAGGTTCCTAAACTTTATCACAGCACAGTACCTTTGGGTCTCAGAAATCTTTCCACGGCATCCTTAGACCAAGGAAAATACTAACAGTTCTGTTCATTAAGTTGTTAGATCTAAACAACTGGTCTACAGTTGTTGAGTGTCCAACAGGTGTCACACTGTGAGTCCCTCACAAGTGGCAAAGTCCCGCAGCGCTCCTAACGGGGCTGCAGCACCACAGGGTGACTCACTGCACAGTTTAGGAGCCGCAGCTTATAAGATACGGGAGCGACAACACAAAAAGAACGTGGCCCTTGGACATCGTATGGAGCGGAGCCGCCTGCCCGGCCCGGACCACCCGCCTACCTTGGGTGAGATTGTTTGGGGGAAAAAAACACCTTGTCTGAGCCACTACAGCAATGCGTATCTTTGTTACAGCAGCTAAGCCTGTCCTCTGCCAACATAGTGCTCAATAAATGTCCCGTTTGCTGCTACTACTGTGACCTATGACCACAGCCACTGCCCAGGGCACCTCACTTTCCCCAGGACTCTTGAGGCGCCTGTGGCCGGCTCACCGGGTGATGCCGCGGTTGGTGGCCATGATGAGGACAGGCGCCATGTCACTCTCCAGCGCCCGGTTGAGGAAGGAGAAGCTCTCGATGTCCAGCATGTGGACCTCATCGATGAACAGCACCTAGAGTCATTGGGACGTGTGTTAAACTTGCCATCCGCAACCCCAGTGCAGCCCCCACCCCGGAAGCCAGCCCTGGCCACTCACCCCAGGGATGATCTCTGCCTTGCCCTCCTCGCGCCACTCGGCCACCTTGGCGTTGATCTGCTCGCGGACTTCTGACTTGATCTCTCCTGTGTCACCTGTGGGAGGCAGGGGGGGCCTCAGGGGGAGTAAGAAGCACCCAGAGGTGGGTAAAAATAGAGAAGGTGGATGCCGGGGCCTGAAAGATGACAGGGATTGGAGGGCCAGGGAGTCTGACGCATCCCCACAAAGGAGGAACAGAGATAGAGAGAGAAGGCAGGAGGGAGAGAAGGCAGGGATGCAGCCCCATTGGACCACCTGATGGGTGCAGGCAGCCAGCCACCGAGAGGGAGGGAAGAGCCAAACTTACAGATGGAGTAACAGGGATTGAGGAAGAGAGAAACAACACAAGGTTGTAGGTGGGTCCTACTGGAGGGCCGGAGGTGGTGGGCGCCATGGGACAGAGACTGTGTGAGGGCAGCCTCCAGCCCAGGGCGGAGTGGGGTGGGCCTCACCAGAGAAGAGTGCCAGGAAGCCCTGGGTGCGGGAGTTGATGACATCGATCTCGTGCAGGGACACAGTGTGCACCACCTCCTTGCGCTTCTGAAGCTCCCCGTCTGGGCACTGCACGAACTTGGTCTGCGGGGCAAGGGTGGGGCAGAGACAAGGGCCAAGGAGGGCATGAAGGGGGACCCTAAGAGGCTCTGTCTGGGGGAGACTGGGGCTTCCCAGGAATGGAGATGGGACTCTAGGGGGAGGCAGGAGATGATGGAGGTCATCCAGAAACCCTCGGCTCAGAGGTGGTCAAGACCAGGGTTGTCAAGACTACTGAAGGACACGGGGGCTCCTGGGGTGATACAGAGTCAAAGTGCCAGGCTGTGGGGCTCCCAGCTGTCCTGGGGGTACAGAGAAGACTCTGGAGTACCAGGGACATGAGGTCGAGTGACATGAGGACCCAGACCCTAGAGGCCCAGAGTGATGGAAGAGATGGGGACGTCCCGGTGATCCGGGGTTGTGGGGTCCCCCCGAGAGCTCGTAGCGCACCTGGGAGCCCATGGCGTCATAGTCTCGAGCGCGTGTGAAGGAGCGGCCCAGCTTCGAGATCTTGCCTGTGGCCTTATCGATGGTGATCACATCCCTGCAGGGGAGGGCAGGCAGGAGTGAGGAGAGGAAGGGCCCAGCTGCCCCACCGCCATTGTCACTCAACCCAGCAGCTACTGCTCACCCAGCCTGGACCTTGTCCTTTGTCAGGGACTCGATCATCTTGGTGCCCAGGTCATAGATGGTTTCCATCTCCGTGGTCTTGAGGGTCAACTTGCCCACCTTGGAGCCCTGGGAGGGGTGAGAGCCAGGGAAGGGGCTCAGAAAAGGCCCGCACCTCCCCGATGCTGCCAGACACCTCCTGCCCTGTCCAGGCTTGTTTACTCAGCTTCAAAACAGGCACGTGCCAACGACACTTTGGGGGTGATGGAAGTTCACTATCTTGATTGTGGTAATGGCTTCCAGGATATGCACGTACACTGCAACTTAACAAATTGTACACTTTCGATATGTGCAGAGGGCGGTTCTATGTCAATTTCAAATCCATTGCCCTTGAGTTGATTCCTACTCGTAGCAACGCTAAAGGGCAGGGTAACTGCCCCATAGGGTTTCAAAGGCTGTAAATTTTTATGGAAGCAGACTGCCATTTCTTTCTCTGTGGAGCCGCTGGTGGGTTTGAACCACCAACCTTTTGGTAGCAGCCAAGCACTTAACCACTGTGCCACCAGGGCTCCTTTGGGAAGTTACAGGGGCATTAAAAAAAAAACAACAGTTGCTGTCGAGCTGATTCTGACTCATAGTGATCCTTGTGTGTCAGAGTAAAATTGTGCTCCATAGGGTTTTCAATGAAAGATTTTTAAGAAGTAGATCGCCAGGCCTTTCTTCTGGGGTGCATCTGGATGGACTTGACCCAACGGTCTTTCAATGAGCAGCTGAGTGCATTAACTGTTTGCACCATCCAGGGGCACAAAGGCACTTGCCTTACAATAATTCATCAAGCCACACACTTCTTTTATGCATTTCTCTGTATTTCAGTTTGATTTTATACTAAAAAAGTAATAATTAAATTCTTGGCTTAAAAAAAAAGAAAAATAGTCACATTCATCAAGCAAACTGGACAGAAATGCCTTTCAGTACTAATGTGCATAAATCCCACAGGACAGTTAAAAAGCCTGTGGAGAACTTCCAGGCCTATTTTTTTCTTATCATTCTACTGCCTTGGTTTTAACTGCTGCTAGGGTCAACTCCCCTGACCCCCTTCTGCTGGCATGCAGGTGGCTCCCACCTGAAGCTCTAATACTCCCTGGGATTCTGATCTCAGCATTGACATACACCCCTCCCTCCTACCCTGGGTTGGAGGTGGCCAGGCTAGGGAGCCGACTCACCGTCCCCGTGGCTGGCCGGTCGATCTGGATCTCCACCACCTCCCCTTCGATGATCTCGGTCTCCTCCCTAGCCAGATAGCAGATCAGGGGAGGGAGCCCAATGCCGGCCCCCTTGGGAATTGCTAACTCCCATGAGCCCTCAGGCAAAGAAGAGGCCGGCAAGGGCAGGGAGGTGGTGCTGCCCTGACCCCCGGTCCCAGCTCACTTGATGCGGACGCCAATGGATCGCCGGAAGGCCTGCGTCAGGGCCTCAGTCTTGCTCATCTCCAAGGAGAAGATCTCGCTGCCCGCAATGGCCGTGAACGGAGTGTCAGGGCCCAGAGCCTGGGCCATGCCTGCGGACGAGAGGTCTGGGTAGGTGGGGGCGGCTCCAGCACCAGGTTCCCCACACCTTCCCAAGCAAGGAGAAGGGGCTGCACCAAGAGGCCTGGACTAGAAGCTCCCCCATAACCCTACAGGCTCACTAAGCCTGGCTCCGAACTTCTAAGAGTTGTTTAGCCTCAGTAGTTGAGGGTGATGACCAGGGGGCAGAGGCCAAAGGGCAGAAGGAGCAGTTAAGAGCAATGGCTCTGGAGCCAGACTCTGGCTCTATTGCTTAAGGCCGTGTGATCTTAGGCAAGTCTCATCTGCTCCTTGAGCCTCAGTTTCCCCCTGTATAAAACGGGGACAATAACAGAACAAGTTAACTAGTAAAGAACATCTGCCTTGAGCATTGTGCTCTTTTAAAAACTATCTATACGGAATCAAATAGACAACACCAACTCGAGATTAGACAGGAAATTTAGAGGGCAGTGAATTTATGCTGATGGGTGTCATGGATTGGATAATTCCCCCCCAAAAATGTGTGTATCAGTTTGGCTGGGTCATGATTCCCAGTACTGTGTGATTTTCCTGTATGTTGTAAGTCCTATCTCTATGATGTTAATGACGGAGGAGGAGAGGCAGTTGTGTAAGTAAGGCAGGACTCAGTCTACAAGATTGGACCATGTCCTGAGGCAATCTCTTGAGATATAAAAGGGGATGGGGGGACAACCTCATACCACTGAGAAAGCAGTGCCAGGAGCAGAGTGTATCCTTGGACCTGGGGTCCCTGCACGGAGAAGCTCCTAGTCTAGGGGAACATTGATGAGAAGGCCGACAGAGAGAGAAAGCCTTCCCCTGGAGCTGACACCCTGAATTTGGCCTTTTAGCCTACTTTACTGTAATGAAATATACTTCTCTCTGTTAAAACCATCCACTTGTGGTTTTTCTGTTAGAGCAGCACTAGATGACTAAGACAATGGGGGAGGAACAACTCGGAAGAGGGTGAGAATGGTCGCACAACTTGAAGAATATAATCAATGTCACGAAATTGTACATGCAGAAATTGCTGAATTGGTGTACACTCGGCTGTGTATATTCTCAACACCATGTGCCCGGCACAGGACAGCGCTCCGCACAGGAGCAATTACAGGGCAGGCAGGCACCGGTGCTCAACCATGACCCGCCCCATGGCCTGGAACCAGTGCAGGGACAGACAGACCTGCTCTGCAGGCTGGGCCGGGGGCTGGCTGGTGGACAGTGGGCTGTTTCCTGCAACCACTCCAAGCACTGACCTCCTCTCCCAGCTGCCCTTCTTGAGGCTCTGCCTAGCTCAGTGGCAATTCCTCGTAAAACAGGCTGTTTCTGAACCCTCTGACCTGTGTGAGGCAGGAACTCTTCCAGGTCCCCTTTCTCACACAGTGAGGGGACTCTGGAGGGACTGGGCTCTCCCCTGGCCTTCCTCTCCACAGTGGCCCTTATCACAGAGGTCAGCAAGTATCTGCTGAATGAATGGGTGCAGGGTGAGTGTCAAACCACACCACGTGGGGACTTTCACCAGATTTACAGCCTCTCCAGCACAGGGCCTGGCTCGAGGACGGCTTCACCAGGATTTATGAGATGAGGAATGATTGAAGGATGGATGAAGAAGTCACTGCATGTGCCAAATCTGGTGCCTGGATATCCTGGTCGCTATTGTCTGTCTGGAGATTCTCAGACATCCTACAAGTCTTTGCTCAGGTATTGACTTATTTGGGAAGCCTCCCCACCTACTGCCACTACATTACCCTTCCTCCCCCCAACTCGGGTCAGGAGCTGCCTCAATCCCCTGCTACATCTATTACAGCACACACCACCCTGGAAGTGAATGTGTCACAGCTACTTCCTACAGGCCAAGAGCTCCTTGAAGTCAGGGCCTCGGTATTACTCATCCATGTGTCCCCAGTGATGGCCCAAGGCCTCGCATACTAGGGCACCAGAACGAACACTACTTTATCTTAACTGAAGACCTGCTTGTTACCTTCCCACTGCCTGGCCCTACTGTCTGAGCACCGAAGTGGGAGGACTTTCACTCAATCAAGAGAAGCTACAACAAGGTGGAGATGCCTGCGAAGGCTTTTGAAGGATGAATAGGAGTTTAACAAGGATGAAGGGCAGTTGTGAGTGAAAAGATCCCAAATTGCTAGTGGACTGCAACAGACTGTTGGTTGTCACCCAGTGCCCATCTTCCCCTTTGTCCTTAGTTGCAGAACCCCCACTAAATTAAGGCAGCAACAGTCCAAATTTTACAAAAAAAGAAAGTTTTTGCAGTGTCCCAGCCTCCCTTGCAGCAGAGTATGACCATACGATTAAGTTCTGGTCCATGAAATAGAAGCAAAAATGTGTAAGCTGCCCACTACAACTGCTTAAAGTAGGCTACCTCTAGGAACTACACCCTCATTATAACCTTCCTTCTTCTTTCTGCTGCCTAGAGTATGGGTGAGAAGGCTGGAGCTTAGGCAGCCCTCTCGGAACATGTGGTGATCTTGACATGGAAGCAAGTACAGAGAATATAGAGGCAGGAAGATATAAAACCTCGTGGAACTGATCAATATGCTCTAAATTACCTAATCCAGATTCTTCTATGTGAGCATGAACTCTTGAGTGTTTAAGCCAGCACCATTTTGGGTTTTCTATAAAACATGGCTGAACCTGACCTTGACTTACACGAGAGGGATTATTCGGCAGAGAACAGGAAAGCTCCTGCCCTGTGCGGCCTCTTACCCATGGCAATGGCCGTCTTCCCAGTGCCCGGCTGGCCGGCAATGAGGACTGCCCGCCCGGCGATCTTCCCTTCGCGGATCATCTCCAGCACCACACCGGCTGCCCGTCGGGCCGCCAGCTGTCCCACCATGCCCTGGGAGGCCTGTGGAGTGGAAGGTGAGAGAGGAAATAAGGTAACATCTGACTGTGATAGAAACTGAAAGCAGCACTTTTGGCAGGGGCTTCTGGGAAAAGCCACAAAAGGGGCACAGACAGTAGATTGGCACACCTTCTCACCTCCCCTACCCCAATTTTTTAACATTAATGTAACTCCACCTGTGGATGAATTTCATAAATACATGGCCAAAGGGCTGGAAGAACATCAGATAACCCCATACAGCCCAGGCCCTGAGGACTCCCCACCCGAGGCTTCCATGGAGGTACCTTCATACCCATCCCTCACTGTACCTGCCGCGGCTCCAAGGCATCGTCCAGCCCCAGCCCCCGGATGTGGGAGTGAGCGCCTGTGTGAGGGAAAATGAGGAGACAAGGTTATGGCCAGCTCTGGTGAGTGTGTAGCCTCAGGTAAGTGGCTTTCCCTCTGAGGCCTAGTTTTCTCCTTGATCAAATTGCGGAGGGGGGAGAGTAATCTCTACCTCATAGGGTTGCTAGCAGGAAGGCTGAACATGGTAAATGCTCAATAAGCTGGAGCTGCTTGCAGGGTAATATCCTAGCTGGATGAAAATCACTGAGACCTGGTGAATCATATGTTCACATCAGTAATTAACTGCAAGGGCTAACTATCACAACTGCTTCGTTTATGGTCCACACGGCACTCACAGGCTCTAATGTTCTCGTGTCACTGGACGTAACCCTTTGAAATGGAAGCTTGAGCCATTTTCGCCCTGGGAGTGCTTCCAGGGTTCCATAACAACGGCCCCAGGCCCTCACTAAACTCTATGATCCTATAATACAGATGGGGGGACAGATGGGGGCTCAGAGAGGTTAGGTCCCTTGCCCAAGACCACAAAGCCAGTGGGATGGTGAAGACTGGATTCCCATACTTTGCACTAGACCAGGGCTTGGCAAACTATGGCCCTGTGGCCAGCTACCTGTTTTTGCACATAAAGGTTTTTTTGGAACACAGCTGCACACAGACATCTACGTACTGTCTATGGCTACTTTTGCACTACTACAAAGGAGCCCTGGTGGCACCAATAGTTAAGCACTTGGTTGCTAACCGAAGGGTTAGGGGTTGAACCCACCCGTTCCTCTGTGGGAAAAAGACCTGGTGATCTGCTCCCATAAAGATTACAGCCAATGTGGGGACCATGGTATTGGGAACATCTAGCTCAACTGGCATAACACAGTTTATAAAGAAAATGTTCTACATTCTACCTTAGTGGGTAGCGTCTGGGGTCTTAAAAGCCTGTGAGCAGCGATCTAAGATACTCCACTGGTCTCACCCCTTCGGGAGCAAGGGAGAATTCCAAAGGACTAATGGACCACAACTACCACGGCCTTCACAACACCAAGTCCAGTACAGCTAGATGGTGCCCAGCTACCACCACTGACTGCTCTGACTGGGATCACAACAGAGGGTCCCACACAGAGCTGGAGAAAAATGTAGAACAAAAGTCCAACTCATAAAAAAAGACCAAACCTTGATGGAATAATCCGGAAAAGGATAGTGAGAACAGCAACAGAACTGGAAAAATGTAATCCATGTCACTGAATTGTACATGTAGAAACTTTTGAAATGGTGTAACTTTGGCTACGTATATTTTCACCAAAAAAAAAAAAAAAAAGACATTCATATG